TTAGGTGAATAAAAACCTTAAACACAAAAACTTAATTTTCATTTTGTTAAAATTGTTATTTGTGTTCGAAGATAAAATTTCAATTTTGAATTCCATTTCACATCCAGAATCAATTATTGAACTTCTAATGTGTACCTAATAAAGAAAAAATTTTGCATAAAAAAGAGGAAATTCAATTATTCGTAGAACGAAAAATCGCTTATTTTTATTATTAATAAGGGATTGCACAAATTTTCGAGTTTCAAATCATTTGAAACTTTTGACGTTTCCCTGGGAGATTTTCTATTAAAAATCGGTCGGTCACCAAGCCAAAAATCATAGTGTTGAAAACTTTTTTATTTTTATTTTTCTTATTTTTTTTTTTAAATTTTAAATGATTAATAAGAAATTACTTATTACAATTTATATTTTATAGAAACATAAAAGTTTCTGGGTATAGTTAAATGGGCTAGACGTATTTGCAATTGTGATTATGGAGCTTTAAAGTTTTATTCCTTGTTTACACTCTCAAAACATTATTGATTCATTTTTAATATGACCTTAGAACTTTAATAATACGCTCTGTTACATAAAAAATTTTTTCAATAGAATATAATATTGTACAGGGTGTGGAAAATTTAATTCACAATTCAATTATAATAAAAACAGCAAATTTTGCTAAAAGTTTCGAAAAATTTAATTAAAAATTTAAGATTAGCATTACAAAATTTTTATTGAACGTCTTGCTTAATATTCATGTTGAATTTCAAAACTAGCTCAAAATTCAATAGCGCATCGCGAATTTTCCCGTCCACACTTATCTTAATGAAAACCAGTATAAAATTTACTGAAAAACTGATTTGTCATTTCTGAAACATGTTCTCGGAAAATCTTGAACACCCTGAATTAAATTTTAGGAGGTGTAGCTAAATAATGTTCAACATTTATTACGACATTGGAAAACATTGACAAAATAAAAAAGAAAAAGAGAAATAACAAAAAAATTTTGGGTGATATTGAAAAAGAAATTACAAAAACAACAAAAATGATCCCAATTTTTTAAAAATTCTCGTAAAAAAATTAAATTAAGAAAAAAATTGTTTAGAAAATTTTATAAAAAAACAAAAACGCAAAAAGGAAAAGAAAAAGTATCAAATAACTTGTTACTTGGTGTGAAAAGAATTGATTTCAGTTGGAAAACAACAACAAACTTAAAATTTTTGAAATTAAGTTTTCCATTTTTTTTTTTTGATTTTTTTCGGAAAGCTGTTTAAAATGGAAAATGGGAATTTTCGTTACATCATAATTCTCTCCCTTTAAATCCACCTACAAAAATAATAAAACAAAAAAATAAAAAAATTTTTAAGCTCTGTTAAATCGCTTAATTCTGGGAATAAAATAAAAAACTTGAAATCTATTCAAACAATAATTTGTGGATTATTCCAATTCGAATTAAAAAATAAAGTAAAAAAAAGTGTAATTATGAATAAAATGTTGGTTGAGCTGAAAGAGGAGTGGGAAATGTGATTTAAAGGATAACAAAAAATAAATCAGAAAAAAATTAAATCGTCATTTGGAATACCCGCATTTTCCCACTCCAATGTAAGTGAATGTGATTAAAATCTTTTTGTATTTAGAAAGTTTGGATAAAGTTATTGAAAACCTATATTTTTATTTAATTCCGAATTATCCATTTAATCCTACTTTTTTGGTTTTTTTTTAATTTACTTTGTAAGCACTTAATTTATTGAAGGTCAGCAAAAATTAGAAAACAATTAAATAAGTACGCTTATCATTTAATTTGAGTGGAGAATGGTCTGTTTTGAAATTTGGTAAATAAAGGTGGAAATACTAAAAAAAAATTGATATTAAAATTATTTTGTTATAAACGGCTATTTTTGCGTTTGATGCAAAATTTCCGGTGATTTCAGTCAGAGCAATTAGCAATTGACTGCTGAAAATTGCCGTCTTAAGGGCTTTACCACATAGATGGGCGGAGTTTAAAATTTTTTAACCCTTGTGTTGACACCTGCTTACCTGAGTATGTTTTTCAATTTTAGCAGTAACAATTTTATTTGGTACACTCAACATACACAGGCATTTCATACATTTTATATGGAATTCAACAAGACAACATGATTGAAAGCAAATGTTCGAAAAAAATTAAAAATTTAAATTGTATTGCAATTAAAATTTAAATAAAATTAACTCTTTTGTAGAAAAGCAGGTCAATAACCAATTTCATAAAGGAAAATATAACTGCATATTCTTGCATAAAAATGCTACGTCCTATTTCGGAGCGGAATAATGCCCTAAACTTTATTGTTTTGTGAATATCATAATGCAGGTGGATTTATGAAATGGTCTTAAAAGAAGTACAATATTTTTACTCAAATAAAAATGTTGCAATGAAAGCAAATAAAAAATCTACTGTTACACAAACATTTCAGGCATATCTAATAAAAAATCGGAAATGATTTTGGACTACAACCGTACAAAGAACGGTTAGTCGATAATTTGTACAAAATGCTGTACGAATACACATGCAAAAAGTTCATAAATCGATGGCTTCTTCTTCAATATAATAGATGGCCGCTTATGTAATTCATTTAGAATGTAAAAGAAAAACAAACAACCGTCCTAAATTTCTTTAAGACTTTGCAGAACAATATTAGTCTCAATATTAGTCTCAAGATAATCAAACGTATAGCACCAACAGTGAACTCATTAAAAATTGTAAGCCTATTGAACTGGAATAAAAAGTATGCTGCTATACAAATTAAAATCGCAAAGAGACATACCAAATAACTTCATTTCGCTTCATAGCTATAAGTATAGTAGAATTCAACACGAAAGTGATTGCTAGAAAACTTCGTTTTACCAGGAAATTTGTAAAGAATGCCTTTTTCAGTACAAACACAAAGGTATGCAGTTCTCTTGTAAAATATCCAGCTTATTTTCGAAAGCAATTTTTTACCACGAACTACATATGAATTTTCAATTGCAATTCGTATTTAAAAAGTCTATTTGTACTTAAAAGAACTTTGTTTAGCAAATTTTAATAATTTTTAATCATTTTTTAATTATTTAGAATGTCTTATTTAAACGAATATACTCGGCCCTTATTACAATAGACTTTAATCAAGCGTTTTTATAATTTAATCACTTGCTATATCGAAAATTTTCACAATTGAAAGTTTTAGTGCTTGTGCAGTTCTTTTTAAAATTAAAATCCAAAATTTTCAGTTTATCATTCATTCATAAATTTAAAATATGTTGACATTCAAAAACTGTTAAAAGGGCAAATAACCTAAGTTGATTAGAAAAAGCACATTTCCTATTCAGCCGCTATAACAGAAACAACAAAAATATCATTAAAATTTTATTTTTTCTTTGAATGTAAGTGATGTTTGAATAAGTGAATTATAGTTCCAAAGTGCATCTTTATAATTTCATTTCTCTTAATTAAAAACCAATTGTAAATACGCCTACAAAGTGCACTTAAAAACATTTTTGTAACATTAATGTTAAAGGGAAACCTATTATAGGTGTAAAAGAAAAAGTTTTTTGATTCTATTTTTAAGGTTAGAACTGAAGTTGAAACTAGAAAAAAAAGTATTTCGTTTAACAGGAAAAAAGGAAAAATTTTCAAAAGAGTAATTTAATATTAATCGCGTGTGGTTGGTAATTCTAGTAGAAATTCTAATTTTCAATATATCTTCAATATTGACAAATTCCTGTGTAAGGGTCTAATTATAACAGAAATAATTATATTAAATTAATATTCTAACTGATTCAACTCTGCTATTTATAGAAAAAAATTTCACATTTCCTACTAAATTAATTATTTAAAAGAAACTAAAAGTTTTTCTTTATAATTTCACCATTTACAGCATTAAATTGTAATTGGAAATTGGGAACGTTAGGAATTGGACTATAAGAGCATATTTGGCAAATACAATACTGAAAAAAAGTAAACTTAATATTCTGGGACGAAATTAACATATGCGATTAACCTTTTGATAAACTATTAAGGAAAAAGTCATTTTAGTCAAAAGTAATTGCTAATACCATTAATTCTTATATTTAACAATGTGTTTAACTGTATATATACTGTAGATTTGCTCCTCGCGCCATTGGAATTGTTTGCTTAAGGGACAATTTAAGGAAATGATATTGTAACCATATTTGACTAATAAAATGATGAACAAGAAAATCAAGCTCTCAAAATTTATCGATATTAAAAAAGATTGCCAAAAGAACTACAAAACAAAAAATGAAGCTTGCAATAGCCGATTCATGTACGGAGTGGCGTAAAAATGATTTCTTTTCAATTTTTAAAAATTATTATTTAAAAGTTTTAAAAATATGTTTATGCCTTTACCCAAGGAACAATGCTTAAACCCAAGGAAATTTTAACAATATTACCCAAATTAATACGCACATTTTTCAATTAATTGAAAATGTAATTATTAATGCGAAGTCTTACCATACAGTAATTACTAAAGGTTTGTTAAATTAAAATACGAAAATTATTGAATCTATAGGTAAAAAATCTTTACATCTAATCCAAAATAAAAAAATTTGAAAATAGTTTTTTAGAAAATAATTTATAGAAATTTCAGTACCAGAACCAAATTAAATATTTTTTAAATAGTTGAATAGACGTAAACGGCAAAACTTGCTAAGTCGTTTTCTAAAATAAAAAGTTCAAAATATTCCCTTTTTTTCTTGTAATCTATATCATAACGCCTCGATATTGATTAAGCTTATGGGGAATTTCTGAATATGAAGCAAATCAGTTTTGGAGTGACGCTCCTTAGAATATAAAAGGAATTAAATAATTCAATCTCTTCGATTTATTGCTTGATTTCACAAATTTTTTTCCTTCATCTTCTCAAAAACCTTAAAATTTTATAAATCTTTTAAAATAAATTTTATTTTTTAAAAATTTGTAATGAATAATTAAAAATAATATAGATTTTAAATAAATGTTTTTTTTTTTTTTTGTTCAAATTTACCACCAGCTAAAGATGCTCCACCGAATGCACAAACTAAAAAGCTAGTTAAAAGGATCATATCAAAAGATGTATTGGAAATTCTTGCCATTTTATTGAAAATTATTGCAATTCTATACGCAAATTCTCTTTTAATTCCTTCGAATACAAAATTTCAGGTATTGTCCTTTTTAGTTTTCAATTTAATAAAACCGAAAAATTATAGTTGAACAAAATTAAAGTTCGAAAAGTTTCAAAATTACCAACGTATTCTAAAATAAAAATGAAAACTCCTTTAAAATTTTTCTGTTTTTGAAGTTCAATTTAGCGTCAATTAATTTTCTTGTGTCTATTGAATTTTAATAATATTTTAAATATTTTAAAATTTTTACACGATTAATAATATTTTAATTAGGTAATTTTTCTACAACTTTTCAAAACAGTTTTGGATTAAAATGTAAAATTCGAAATTATTATTTTATTTATAATTATTTTGTTCGTTACACTTTTACAATGTTAATTTAAACTTTTGTTTTTAATTTTTCTTTTTCCTTTTTTCTTTTGGTTTTTCCACAAAAAAATTATATTAACACATTTTATTTAAAAATTTTTCAAAAAATTTTCCGCAGATTTTTTCTCTCTACTTATAAATCTTTTTTTTAACACGCTAATTTTTTTTCTTGTTTTTCAACTTTAAGGAAAACTCTGATCAACAGTCACTGACGATATGAAGGATATCAACAAATGGTTTTTCCTTTTATATACAAGAACATGTCAAAAGTTTTCCATTTACGTTTGTTGCGTATACAAAAAAAGAAAAGAAGAAGCAGAAATGAAAATGAGGAAAAAGCAACAAAAAAATGAAAAAAAAAATCAAAATAGAAACACAAAAGTAAATGTTAAACATAAAATGTTAAAAAAGAAATAAAAAGAAAAAAAAACAAAAAAAAATAATAAAAGAACAGTAAAAGAAATTTATTCTAAAATAACGGTATAAAGCTAAACAAGTAACATATACAAAAACAATTATTGTTGTTATATAACGGTAGTATAACAATAGATAACCGAAATATTTTGGTAGGATAAAAACAATGTAATAGAAAACTTTTGAGTTTATTTGTAGTGTGTATTCATTAATAAACACATTCCCTTACACATAGCTATACACATATTATGTATATGCATATTCTATTAATGTACGATTGAAAAACGATTTACAGTAATTCATTCATTACGTGATATGTGAATATTTTATAAAATAAACATAAATTTTAGTACATATATATAGGCGTACAAGGTACAGAAAAATTATAATATAAATATAATATTGCATATAACACAATTTAGTTATATGAGTGTGTGAATTTGAGTACATGATCAACATTTTTAAGTTTTGGGACTGTAATCTTGCAAGTATAACGAGAAAAGAATATTTTACGTGTTATAGACAATAATCTGAACTACATTTCTATATTATGTTTATTTATATAGATAGACTCATTTGTAGATTGGTGAAATATGGAAAAGAAAGATCCAGTTTTGTATTATTATTTGCAAAATTTCTAATATATACAACATTCGAAAATATTATAACAAAAATTTATAAAAATAAAAATAAAATTATAAAAAATAAGACATTTTTACTTAAATCAGTGATCGGATTCGTTAGTGGATGGACTTGTATTAAAGATAATACAACTAAGGATACAAAGCAAATTATTTTGAGAATCTTTGAGCAGTCTAATATTTTATGTGATAAAGGTCAAATATAAAGAGTACTAGCAAAAGCTCAAAATACTATAATCAATTTTGTTTATTTATTCTTTTTGAGGTAATTCAATGGGACCTTGGTTGGTCGCTAAAAATTTATTTTAAATATATGGGAACTCAAAATACGATGGCTGGAGTGGTACATATAATATGTAGCTCACATATTATATGAGCTACATATGATAGCTAGAGTGATAGAATGGTTGAAGTGAATTTTACTTTATAATGTAAAAAAAAACTTAAACTTAAGTATACCTTACTTGTGTTTGACTATTAAGCTTATTGCACAGAAAATATCATTCTGAATAACTCGGTTATGGATGTTATAATTTTCAATGTAATATTATGGAGAAAAGCCAAAAACATTGAACTTTATATGAACTGTTCTAGCTTTGCTATTTAAAGAAACAAACAGTTTCAAATTATTTAACTTTCATTTTAAAACAATTTTATTGTGAGAAAGCTATTTCCCAAAATAATATTGGGGGTAATCAATGCAAGTTTTGATAACAAAATATTTTTTTTTTTTTTATTTTTACAAAATCGAATTAGAAGAACTAACATTAGTCATGAAGTTAAAAGCACAGTCCTATTTCAAATATAAAAGTTTCTTTAACATCAATTTTACATTATATTGTCCAACATAATGTTGAAGGTCATACTTGACGGATGGTCAATAAAATTCTAAGTTGCCATAAATAAAAATTAAATTCTTTTAAATTGTTTTAATAATTTTTAACCTAAAAAAAATATTTTAATAATAAAACCTTTCGCAACGCGATTGACCTTTTATCTCACTCATTATACTTTCGTATACTTGCATATATGAATACGTTTTGTATGTACGTACTTATTACAGGTATATTACATGTTGAGGTGTCATCACTTCCTATCTCTCTCTTTATTCAACTAAAATTTTTTAGTTGAAATATAAAATACGCATTTTTTAGTGTCCAACTAGAGGTAATAGTTACTAGTAATACATATACGTACATTATATAACTTCCATTACCTGTAACCTAACAGGATGTTGAATTCAATATTATAAAGAATTTTTTTTTTACATGGACAAAGAATAAAAATGTATTTTAAATTAATTATCGTTTTGTTTACTGTCCTGTAAAACTTTAAAAATTATGAAATTTTTCACAGCATCTTTGGTCCTAAAACATTTTTTTCCTCATTTTAGAATGGCAGCATTAATAGATTGTAGTTAAAGGAAAATGTTGTTTTTCAATTATAGAAAAAATTTATAACATAAAGAATGTTTTGAAATAATATTTGAATAGTTCCTTTAAATTAATGAAAGAAATCTTTTAACAACAGCATAAAATCTTGAAATGTAACGTAATAAGATTTAATCCAGTAACCAACTTGGAAATTACGTACAATTGCTGTTCCAATGTTTCTATATAAGTATTGAAATAAGTTACTTGTACATTATTGTTTAAAAATAATTTCTATATTTTGAAATTGCCAATTAAGATTTTATAGAAATCTGTAATTGATGATGTTGTAAAATTTTATAAAGCTCTAATAATGAGCCTTCATTATAAACCAATATAAATATAACAACAAATTTATAAATGTTGAACGCAATGGTGGAAAAGCATTTCAGTATAGCAGACACAGGTAAATATTGTTAAACAATACGAACCTGCCAATTTATAAAAATTAAATAAAAGAAAAGTTTATTGGTTTAAAAACTTTATGAGCATTACAGCTTCGAAACTTTCTACAACTTTTTTAATGTCTGTATAAATATTTGATTGCCATTCCCATTATTAGTATTGTGGGTAGTTTCAACTCGTTAGAAATATTTTACGATGTTTTTCTTAAGAATAATATCGTAAATTTCAAGAAACTCTTATTTTTTTCTTTTGTTATCGATTTAAAATTATTTTTATAACATTGAACGTGATTTGAATGTAATTTTAAATACACAAAATTCTTTAATGAATGAAAAGAGTTGATAGGCCAAACTTTAAAAATCAATATCCATTCTGAAAATTCACACATATTATGAATACCTACACTATTCCTTTTAATGTGATTTGTTTGTTTCAGAAAGACCAGGTGTTATGTCTACGAAAATATTATTTTTATGCATAAACTACTGAATATAATCTGAAAAGATGTTTTAAAAGCTTAGAGTTTTTGATGATTTCCTCAAAATTTCAAACATCAAAGGAGAGCTAAATCATTGTTATAGTTCCCTTTTCAATTTTGTAACAGTAGTAATTTAATATGAGTAAGCAGATCATAACATGGTTTTGTCACGTTGAAATTGTTTTTAAAGTTTGAAATAAAAGAACTTGTGTTTTTTTTTATTTTAATTTTCAAAATATATTTATATGAAACGGTAATACTTTTGAAATTGTAATGGTGAAAAAATTATTTAATAATTGTAGGTACATTCAGCATAATAGGTAATATTATCTCTTTTAGAGCCATCCTGATATCACTTTTCCGGTAACAACAGATTTTCCTCGATCTCCGGTTGCACCAGCACCAGCTGAAATCATAGCTTCTTTTGCTGCTTTGCTATCTACTTTTGGTGCATCTGCTTTTGCTGCAGCTGGTTTATCTGCAGGTTTATCACTTGGTTTTCCAGCAGGTTTGTCAGCTGGCTTATCAGCAGGTTTATCAGCTGGTTTGTCAGCTGGTTTATCGGCAGGCTTGTCACCTGGTTTATCACTCGCTTTGTTGGCTGATTGATCCGGTTTGTCCGTTTTGGCAGCAGCAGCGTCACTAGATTTTTCCCCAGGTGTGGCACTTGGTTTTCCGCTAGATTTATCTGCATCAGGTTTATCAGTTTTATTATCTAAAAAAGTTTTTCAATTAAGAAAAGAAATATAATTTAAATTTGAAATATAATTGCATACCTTTTTTCGAATCTTCTGTTCCAGCTTTATTGTCAGCAGGTTTCTGATTATTTGGAGGAGGTGCTGATGTTTTTGATTGATCGCTTGGTTTTGCCGGCCCAGCTGTTGTTTCAGCTTTTTTCGCTTGTGCATCAGATGGCGGAGGTGCTGGGGCGTTACTTTTCTTCTCATTCGTTGTCTTATAAGAAACGGTAGGCTTACGGACAGCTCCTTCACCTGAGGGTTTAGTGGCGGAAGGACCTGCTTCACTTTCCTTAGCCTTTTCGGCTTCTGCTCGTTTCTGAAGGGTTGGTTTCATAAACTTAACATAAGCTGCACGTGTTGCTGGACCGATGTCTTCCAACAGGGGATTGAATTCTTAAAAGTACAAGAGTTAAAAAATATCGAAAAATCTCTAGAACAATTTTTAGCTTACTAAGTATTTCGTTTTGATCCATTTGAGTCCATTCTTTCTTATCTTCCTCAATCATTTTGCGGCGTATACTTTTTTGAGAAGCACGAAGAGCTCTATCTTTTGAATTTCCTATTGGATCAGAATTCGACATGAAATTTTTCTTAACAATTTTATTCCAATCTTTCTTTTCCTTAGTGCCATCTTTTGGAATAGATTCTTTTCGTTTGCCAATAACTTTTGCAATGCTACTAAACACATCTGTAGTTCCGGTGCTAATTTCGTTTTGTATACTTTCAACAATTCCAATTGTGAAATCTTTCATTATACGACGTTCTAATATTTTTGTTTTCCTATTTACTCCCTCGCTCTTTTCGTCGGCATGGGGAACAACCCAATTGTTTTTCTTCAAAATATCTAATAATTCAAAACGGAAACTGCTAATATCAGCTCTTGTCTCAATTATATCATCTTCAGTGACTCCAGTTTCATCACGTTTCCGTTGCTCGGATACTACATAACGCCGAATAATTAACTTCATTACCTTATCGTGAAGTATTTGTGCCCTGTTTTTATCTTTTCTCTAAAGTTAAATTGAAGTATATATAAATTAAACGACTAAAAACTAAAAAATAATATACACAACTTACAGTGATACTCTTTGTTCTTTTTGGCGTTTTTCCAAACATTTTTTGCATTTGTTCCATTGTTGGACACATATTAAAAGGTGCTGGTAGAACACCATCTTCTCCGAAATAATTAAGCCATAATTGAGACCTAGCAAACTTCCATTCAACATCAGCCTTTTCATAAATTACTTGATATGAATTTGACATCATAGCGATCAACATATTTAGTAGGACAATAATATTAATTAAATTGTAAGATCCAAACATCAGCAAACTCCAGAATCGGGTAAAGCCTTTGATACCAGCCAATTCGAATGAAACTAAATCAACAAGGCCAAAAGAAGCCCAAAACAATGATTGGGATGTTTCGAATAAACTGGTTTTGAAAAATTTTATATCGTATTACTTAAATGTTTCAAATTTTAGCTATTTTAGATTTTCTTACTTTGCAAATCTTCTCCATATTGTACAAGCTTTCTCTTGATCATCAAAATCAGCGATTTCTGGATGTAAATGATAACATTTTTTCATTTCTAATTCTGCATAGTACATGAGAAGTAAATTAAAACCACATCCAAATGCAAATAAAACCAATGTGTAAATAAAGAAGAATTTAATAATATCAATAATCATTCGGCCAAGTGATACTTGTAAGGGTCCCAAGTGTTGATTTATTGGAAAAATATGAACCAATTTAAGAAAAGAAAATATCATTCCAGCTGCGAAAGCACCTTCACCAACTAACATCGGGTCAAATGGATGCCAATTTTCTCTTGGAAAATATGGGTCAATCTTACGATACCAAAGATCTCTCTATATTTCGGAAAAAAATTGAATTACATAAATCCTATTTTTAAGCTTACTGAAAATATAATATTATATTTACATGAACAACAAGCCATGAACACAATCTCAGCATTATCCATGTCACGTAAAATTGATTAGCAATGAAATCGACAATATTCCATAGATCGTAAATATATTCCATTAATCCTTCTTCATAAAGCGTTTTCAATTCTTCGAATATTAAACCTACGTCAAAAAAATTAAAGAATAATGAATAGCTAGGATGTGATAGTGATCAAGTTTATACTTACTTCCGATATACATCATAATCATTAACTCAATAGGACCTGGTAATGAACCCCTTTCATATCTTCTCCAATTATCCAACATTTGAAGCATCCAAGGAAGTCCAATGATTTCGAACATAATTGGGATTATTCTAAGAGAAGCTCCTGCCAGTAACCCTGTATCGAGAAATGAGTTTTATTTTGTAGAAATAGTATTCACAATTTCTGACTTACCTAAAAACACCATGTAACTCGAGGTGTGCATAATGAATTTGACAAAAGGTTTTTTCATTAATTTAGCTTTCTCGCTGTTCGGTGCTAGGATATAGTTCATGCAGTATATTGGAAAGCTGCATCCAATTGTTAAAACTTGAACAAGTTGATCTGGTAGTGTTTTCCTTTTAAAACCAGGGAGACCATCAAACCAAATCGCTGCTAAAAGTTGTTGGACACTTGGATGCGCAACGAACTGAAAATTTTATTTTTGGTGCGTTAAATTTTATTATGAACTTATTAAGCATGTGTTACTTACAGCTTTTTCCTTATATTTAATAGCCAATTGAAGACGCTCTAGAGTTTGACGCTGTCCAGGGAACCATATTTTATCTTCAGCTTCTGGATTGAAATTTAACATAATTTCTAACTCCACAGAAGTTCTGGCGTGATCTAATAACGTCGAAACAAACGATTGAGTTTCCTGCCTCATTTCAAAATAAGCATCGCGGAATTCAGATTCCATGCTCTGTAAACGTCTTAATTCCCATGATAGTTCAAAAGCAGTTAAAATCGGATCTCTTGAACTAAGCGCAATTAAAGAACTGGCGGATAGAGCTCTGTAGGCATTTATACGGGCTTGCGAATAACGAAGTGAATCAGCTTCCTGCGTCTTGACACATGTATCACAGCCACACCTTAAAGCAAATCGAAAATAACAAAATCCTGTTATTGTTGGGGAATTTATTTATTTAATTTGATTTATACTTGACATCATGAGGCATAGGAAGTGTTGCACCTCGATCTAAAAGAATTTTCAATATTTCGTAATTATTACGATGGGCAGCTAAAATTAATGGCGTAATATCCGGTGTAAAATCAGACATCGAAGTGTCAGTTGCCTCCCAACTCTTTAATAAAAGGGCCATTAGTAATAAAAATTATTTATACTAATTTTATCTTACGTAAGGTTTTCCCTCCACGTGAGTTTTCTCTTCCCATTTCAATAATTCTTCTACTGCTTCAACGTACTCTTCAGAAATAGCATGTAATAAAGCATTTCCCACCTCTATTCCTTCACGAAGTAAAATTCCAATAAGATCTTCATTTTCATTTTCAATAGCTGATATTAAAGCATTTCTGTTCAGTGGATCCACACAATTAATATTAAACTCGGGATTATTTTTGTTTTCGAGAATGATACTGTAAAATTTTGAATTTGTATTAATTTTTTACCATTCTGTTGGATAGTCTTTGTTTAACTCACGTTTCTACACCAGCAGTGTCACCCTTTTCAACAGCTATAATAAACCTCTTTTCGATATCCCTCAAAACATATTCTTCTGGTGCGTTTACCAGATAGTCGAATCCTGTCACTCCTTTTTCTAAATCTTCTTCCTGCATGTTTGGAACAAGACTTTCCTTAGAGTCCGTTTTTTCTGGCATTTTCAAGGTTTTTAAGTGATAACCTTAAGCTGTACAAAAAAAATATTATAAAACAATTTTAGTAAGCTTTTTTAATATTTAAGGAGCATTTTTAAATTGAATTTGAAATAATTTGAATGCTTCTTAGTTCTTTCATTTTCGTTAATTTTCTTATTCGGGGTAAACAAGCTTACTATAACGTAGTTAATAATGAAAGTTTAATTTAATATGTCTTCAACAAATACGAGTAGTGAAATAGTTAAACGAGAATTACTTTATCGGGTCAAATATGTGAAATATATTGTCAAATATCTTTACGAATAAATTATTCCAAGTAAGAACTATATCATAATTTCAATACACCTTAATACCACCTTTTGCTATCTTTATAAAGTATCTTTGTTGTAATGCCTAAAGTTCTATCTCAATTTTAGCGCAGCAGACTGAATATAATTTGAAAATGATTTGGACTATTTTTTTTTATTTAATATTTCTACATTTGCTTGTTTGAAATTTCGGTATTAAGGTTTTTGTGAGATATTATGAAGTAAATTTTGAAATTGGAAAACAGCTTTTTATTAAAAATAATGTATTTATTTTTGCGAATCTTTATTATTATGGCTTAAATAGTTTTGATGTGTGGTAATTTATCTTTTCAAGTTTTAATGGCAGGCACTCAAACCACTATTTCAGTCACATCCAATTTGGATACGATTCTATTATTTTTTTTTGCCATAAACAACATATTTGTTAAATTTTGATGAATTTAACTCAGTTTATTTAGAAGGGATATGATTAAATCGAATTCAATTATGTGTTCATGTGCTTATGAGGTGTAATAACGCCTCATAGATGAATACGTTTTAAACGTGTTACAAACATAGCTATAAAACACGTAAATTTAAAATATCCTTCAAACTTCTGTTCGTACAGGTATTAAAAAAAGTCGTAAGGTACTTTTCTTCCACTTAAGAAAAAATAAATTAAAAATTACAATGAGAAGGAAAAATAAAATTTTTTTAAAAGAAAATAAAAAAATTAATGCGCCTGCAGCCTTGAATACTACTAATTATATTTTATTGTTTAATTACATTTAAGTTAGTACATTTCAGGAAGAATCATAATCCACTTTATCCGAATGATTAGTCAGTTAAAGTTCCTAGCTGTGTTAATTAGTATTCCGAAAATCTTAAATTATTTTTAACTATGATAGCTCGATCCCGAAAATTCCCTTTTTGATGAAAAAAATAAAAACTCTTGTATCTGAAGTGATTTGGAAACAAAATTAGTTTCTTTCAACCCCAAAGTTTTGATAGAGTAAAACATTAATGAATAACTAATATTTTTTTTAACAACGTCTGATAAGAGTCCGTTTTTTACTTATTGCACTTATTCTATTAAATTTCACTATCTTTATTTATTTTTTGTAAAATTTTTAATAATTTTAAATGTTTTATTTTAAAAATAGCTATTTACCAAAATATTTAACTAAAAATAAAATTATTGCAACTTTTCTCCAATAGTTTAATTGAACTTTTACATGAGTATTTTTATTTTGACTAAATATAAATTCCCGATTCCCGTTAAATAAGAATGCGGCTAATTTTTTATGAATTTCAATAAGTTTTCAATAATATTTAATTATTTAATTTTATCTTAAATAAATTTTTAAAATTTAAGTTAAAAAAATATTAAATAATTTTTTTTTTTATTTTTTAGTTCATTTAGCTCCTAGCAGACTCGGAGCTCAACAAGAACTGAAAATTTTTTCCTTCTGTCATAGGCTTATGAACTGCTAATCACATTAGTAGAAATTCAAAATATCACACAAAAATAAATATAATAATTGAATATAATGCACTTGCGATATTAATAAATTTTCTTGTAGGCACCTCAGTTTATGCAATTAAATATTATTGGCATTCAATAATAAAAGAAAAAAGGCAAGAACAACTTTAATTCAAAAAACAAAATTACAAAATATAAAACTCTTAAATACCACAAAAGAAAAGCAAAAATAATAAATAGTTGGTCATTGGACTCATAAGATATTCATGTGAAATTTGTTAGAATATTTGTGATAATTCTCTATAGACGTGATTGTTGCAAAAAATCATGTTTCAGAAAAATTAAATTTAGTACAAAGTTTACAGGTGGTGTGAACTAGTGCCAAAAATGCTTTGTTATAGTTGAAAATTGACTATATGCATAAATTTTCAAAGACAAATACCTAATCACTGGCAAATCCAACTTTTGAATTGCAATTGCTTTTGTTCTCTTAATTCGCAAAAAGGTCTTGTTTGTCTCAAGGCACTGAAATCTTTCAACATCTTTTCATTTGATATAACACTATGAGTAAACTATTTATTGCTTAACTAAATTTCACTGGATCCCTTTGAATTACAATTCAAGTATAAAAAGTGCGTCTAAATTTAAAATGAAAATCATAATATCCAACTGAAAAGGCATGTTCTGCATTACAAGGTTTTTATTTTTTAAATTTACATTCATACTGAAAATAAACACCAAAAAAGTGTTATACAAGAAAATTTTAGAACAAACAACATTTTATAACAATCGGCACATGTATGTATATTCATATTCTTCAACTGTCATAAGCTAAATATAGATAAATAATATGTTTTCCGTTTATATCGTAAAGGAAATTGCAAAGAATTTAACTATTTTGACATTGTTCAAAAAATCAGTTTTAATGATAAATAACTTTTGAATCAATGGTTTTCGAATAAGCACATTTGCTAGTTGGAAAACATTTTATATTGACAAACGGGTAAATTGAAACAATATCAGAATATGAGACAAAAGGCAAATTACAGATGTTCATCGAAATTTTTTTTTGTAGTCAGTATGGCTATTGTAAAGAAAATTGTGTACATTTCAAATTTGCATCGATATAACTCGGCCTAATATCTAGTATGTCCATAAACTTACGGACGGTTGGTCAAAATTTATAAGCCTATTTTTTTTAAACTGTATTGTAAATGGACTTAAAGTGTTAGGAAATCGTTAGTAGTATTAAAATTGACAACAGTTACAAAAAAATCACGTATTTCACGGTGTGAATTGTTAATTATGCTTTATGTATAATGAATATACGTGCAGGTATATGGGGGTCTAAATATAATTAAATTTAAAAAACGCCATGTCTTAATTGCAATATTTTATTATTTGCATACAGTTGCAAGAAGGAACGCATAATGAAATGTAAATCGGAAATTTTACACCAAAAGTGTGAGGTTAGGTAAGGTCGATTTATGTAAGTCTAATACACGCACTTACAAATATAAAGTTTTTTTAAGAATTTCAGAAGGGTATGCTCCTTTGGTGTAATTCAGAAATTTAGACATACTCGTAATTACAAATTATTCGAACTAGGGCAATATACATAAAAATTTTTAATGATCGGAATAATTAATCGGAGAACTTTTTCTTTGTAGAAACTTTCTGTAAAGCTATTATGATAATTATAGTTATACCTTACGCTTGACAGATGTCTTAATATTTTTTCCAATATAAAACCTTTAAATAAGTGAGTATTCAACTTAATCTTTCTGTTAATGTTTTTACTACATTGAAATAAAAAACCATTTTTTATTACTCAAAATTCGAAATATTTAAGATTTTATTAATACTTTTATTAACATTGCTATTGTAACTTATAATATTATAATTATTATTCACAATTGTCACTATATTCAAATGAAGAATATTAAGATGAAATATTAAATATGATTTAACAAGCTAAATAATTGGTACTTAAGTATTAAAGTATTGCTAAAAAAAGTCTGTCTTCTTATTGAAGGTTTTACATCAAATAAATAACACAAAACAAAAAAATCACTAACTTTTATATTACTGTTACCAAAATTTTGACACCTAAAGCCATCCAGAAATCATTTTTCCGGTTACTGTAGACTTTCCTCGATCTCCAGATGCTCCAGCTCCAGCTGTACTCTCTCCTATATTTATTTTAGTTACTGGTTTAGTTGATGCACTTGGAGCTGGTGGTTTGGAACTACTTGTCGTACTTGTCGTGGTTGAGCCTCCCTGAGCACTTTCAGATTTAGAACTCTTTTGTTCACTTTGTTTATCTGAAGACGTTTTTGCAGATTCGGTTCCTGATTTTGGTTGGTCATTTGCTTTTGTTATTTTATCATCTAATTTTGTATCACCTTTTTTATCTGCTCCTTCTTGTTTGTCACCTTTTGAGTTTTCTCCACCCTTTTCTGTTTGTTTTTGTAATGGTTTATTTTCTGATTTACTACTTCCTACTTCTGTTGTCTTCTTAGCAGTATTTTCAGATGGTTTATCGCTGTTCTTAGGGGGTTCGGATTTTTGATTTCCTCCAGGATTGGAGGCTGATTTTTCATCAGGTTTGTTTTGAGAGGAAGGTTTTTGTGGTGCGTTGGGTGCATCTCCTTTTTTACGGTTGGGTGGACTTGGAGCTTTTCCTTTTTCGGTTGGTTCTGATGTTTTTGGCGCCTCTGGTGCATTTTTGAGTACATCTGTAGATTTTTCTGCAGATTTTTGACTTTTCAATGTATTTTGTTTAATTAATTCCTTCTTAACAGATGACATTGATAATGCTTTGGATAATTCCGGCTAAAAGTAAATAAATATCGTTATAAGTTCCAAACAAAATTGTAGGCAAATGATGCAAAATTAAATTACCTTTGGAGCTGGAGGCTTTGGATCTGATGACACTCCAGCATTATTTTCATCACCTTCGTCTTTTATGTCCTCTAGCTCCTCACGTTTAGTCAAAGTTTTCTTCATAAATTTAACATATGCAACCCTGGTGGTTGGTGTAACTTGACTTAGTCGTGGATTAAATTCTGTATTTAGAGACAATTTTGAAATAGTTTTATTAAAATCAAAAGAAAATTTGTTTTCGTAAATTTTTTGATAAGTCAACCTTCAAAACCTTACCAACTAATGTATCTGTATCCATTGCCAGTCCAGCATTGGCTTCTGTCAAAATCTTTCTTCGTAAACTGCGTTGACTTCTTCTTATCATAGAGGATTTTGTTGAACCAATAGGGTTACTTGAAATAGTATTTTGGCGTACGATAGCATTCCAATCTTTAGAAGCTTTTTCATTTTTGTTTCTTCCGACAACTTTTGCAATTGTACTAAAGATATCCTTCGAATTATCTTTTTCCATTTGAGTGGCAATTGTTTCAACGATACCAATTTGAAAGTCTTTTTTAATTCGACGTTCTAACACACGACCCTTTTTATTTGTGGCTGCAAAAGTTTTAATTTGTTAGATAAGATATATATATACACATAAATTTTAATTTCATTCATATAGGTTATGTGATTCAAATTTGTGCTTATGAAATTTGGGGAACATCAAGTAGAGGATAAGAGAAATAGGACGACAAAATTGGTCATTGTAAAGTTGATAGCTGTAAAGTTAATTGACAAATGTTAACAGGTTTTACCAAAAGGGTCGTAACAAAGCTTAATAAATATAAAAAGAGGTAAATAGCTACCAACAAATCAATTTTTTCTAAAAAACAATTTTAAATTCGTTTTTGTTATTGTTTCACATTATTTTATTTCTTTAAAATTCAATAAAATCAGTTTGAATTAAATTTGCATAATATGCCTTGAAATTTTACTATCATAGTGGTTGTGGCCAATTCCAGAGCGAATTAAGGAAATTCATACAATACGAGTATAATTAAAACTCACGTGTAATTCACAAACTAAAAGAAACTCATGCCTTCAAATATGCCAACTCAATCATGTGAAAATCAAAAAAACGAGCATGTGACAAAAAGAAATTTATATTTTTAAGGGCTTCACGAAACATTAAAATTTTCATAATTGTAAAACACAAAAGAACGAGAATAATTCCAAATCGCTTCAATTTACAAACAATTATCGATTTTCAATATTTTATTCAGTTTTACCTTTTGTGACGCTACTTTGTTTTCTATTCTTTTTGTATAATAATGATTAAGGTAGCACATGGAATATAATTCCTTGAAAATACTATCAAAAAGTTTTCATTTCCTAAACATCCGGTTCGAATATTTGTTATTTTTCTTTGTTACAGTCAGTTTAAACATTGAATCAAAACTTATAAGTAAAAAATTAATTTACGATAAGAACGCGCTTTGTTTATTCTTGACGTCTTACTATGACGCTTCGTTTATTTTTGACGTCTTTGATAAATTTTAAGGTTAAAAAAACTATTTTTGAAGTAGTTCCTTTATTTAAAATATAATATACGCAAAAGACTTACCACCAGTGTCCCTTTTCCTGTCGATATCTGGTATATCAAATCTATTTTGTTCTAATATGTCTAATAATTCATATCTAAATGAACTTATATCAGCTCGTACTTCAATAATATCATCTTCAGTAATACCATAATCATCACGTTTTCTCTGCATTGCAATTACATATCGGCGAACTAAATGCTTCATTACTTTTTCATGTAATCTTTGAGCTCTTTCTAAAGCTCGTCTCTATAAAATTTGAAAAAAAAAAAACAAAAAAATAAAAAAAGATACATTGCTTGAGCTGTAAACAAAGATAACATAAAGATAGAAAGGCTAATCTTGGACTTTTTATTCAGAGAGAACAAATAAAGAACTCAAATTAAATCAATATTGTGATACTTAAGAGTTTCGTCGTATATTTCAGCTTGCTTAATAATTATATTCAAAGTAACAAAATACAGTGACATGGTAATCATTACACAATTTTTAATTAAACACATACACCTACACATAATGTTACATTTCATAATATTTACAATATACTGATATAAGCTTTTTTATTTGGTAAAGGTTTTGCTTAATGAAATCATCTAAGCATGAAAACAACAATTTTATACACTAGCTAGCCATATTAATTCAGAAAAAAGATTATAAAATTTAAATTTCTCTTTTAATGAAATTCAATAAATTTTGATTTTTCACTCAATAGGAATCAAAATTAAATTTAAGTAAAATCTTATATCGATTTCAAAATTATCATAATAGAACTGAAAATTATCAAAATGGATCACTTGACTTAAGATATTGTATATAAATAAATAAGCAAATACCTTATTTTTATATAAAATTTAAATAAAATTTTATGGTCTTACATAGTAAGATGAGGGTGTTATGCAAATTGGATTAAGTTTTATAAATGTTTAAAATTTATTTTGTTTAATATAATATAAATGACACCAACATCATCTCTATCAAGCATACCATCTTCAAATACATATATACCATACCTAACTGAGTCTATAAAGATATCTTGCTTTTGACGTAATAGTTCCTAGTTTTGCGAATTCTTTCTAGGTGGTAATGAATTATAAATAATTCTATAAAACATTGTATACAATATAAAATAATAATGTGGAAGCAAAGAATTTTAAAGACTCATACATACACAGATAGACAAGATACAGTGAAAATAATAATGGAGTCTTATAATATATTGAAAGGTTGAAAATTCATTGATGGCCGACAGATTATCCTGCTTATTTTTATTTTTTTTTGTAATATAGACGTCATAACTATTTTTAATAAAATTGTGAGTATTTAATTAAAATTAGGAAATTAACATGAGGAGAAAAAATTATTTACGGAAACATGCAAAGGTATGGAAAATTTTAATTTTTTTTAAATTAAAAACTTTCCTCATTCAAATTTCATAATGTTCGGGTAAAGAAAATTATTCATAAAAATCTATACATACATAATTGGTTAAACATAATTGCCATAAATTATAATTACCAAGACACTCCTCGTTCTTTTCTTTTGTTTTCCTAATGTTTTACGAATTAGTTTCATAGATGGACACATATTAAATGGTGGAGGTAAAGTAGATCCATCTTCGAAATAACTCATCCATAATTGTGATCTAGCAAATTTCCATTCGACATCAGCTTTTTCATAAATTACTTGATATGAATTTGACATCATAGCAATCAACATATTTAGTAGGACAATAATATTGATTACACTGTAAGATCCAAAAAGTAAAAGTGCCCAAAAACGTGTAAAACCTTTAATACCAGCTAAATCGAATGATACTAAATCTACTAAGCCAAATGATGCCCAAAAGAGTGATTGCGATGTCTCAAAGAGGCTAAAAAGTTACCGTATTATTGACCGTATTTTAATTGATAAAAAATTTTTTTAAAACTTTACTTTGCAAATCTTCTCCATATAGTACAAGCTTTTTCTTGATCATCAAAATCAGGTACATCTGGATGCAAATGATAACACTTACGTTTCTCTAAATCAGCATAATACCATAGTAATTGATTTAAACCACAACCGAATGCAAATAGAACTAAAGTATATATGAAGAAGAATTTAATAATATCAATAATCATTCGACCCAATGAAACTTGAAGTGGTCCTAGATGAGGATTTATCGAAAAAATGTGCACCAACTTGAGAAACGAAAATATCATACCGGCAGCAAATGCGCCCTCAGCTATTAGCATTGGGTCGAATGGATGCCAATGTTCACGTGGGAAGTATGGATTTATATTACGGTACCATAAATCTCTCTGAAAGGAAAATATTTATGAGAATTTTATTTATTTATGAATATGAATGATATTTCAATAGATAAAATATACAAGAGATAAAATACATGAAATCAAATGCATATGCTACAGTTCATTATACGCAAAACACACTTACATGAGAAATAACCCATGAAGTTATTCTCATTAATATCCACGTCACATAAAATGTATTTGATATAAAATCGACAATATTCCATAAGTCACAGATATATTCAAGTAATCCTTCATTATAAAGTGTTTTTAGTTCCCCAAATATTAAACCTGCAAACAATAAAAGTATTTTAAGTAATTGTAATTATTGTATTAATTTTATCATTTCATGTTGTTCCATTAATGATGCACATGAACACGTGTATGTATTGTCATAATTTATTGCAAATCGCAATAATTATTTTACGTATGGTATTGTGTGTTTTTATTGTAAAATAGTTTTAATTTACTAATTGTACAAATTTATTATTTGTTTTTCTTACTCGTGATATACATAATAATTGCTAATTCGATTGGACCAGGTAATGATCCGCGTTCATGTTTTTTCCAATCTTCAAGGATACTCAGCATCCATGGAAATCCCATTAATTCAAACATTATTGGTATCATTCGTAGCGATGATGCTCCAAGTAATGCTGTAATAAAAAATTCTATACATATATGAATGCATTAAGAGTAAAATCAGTTCTATTGTACCGTGAAAGTAAAAGAAGGATAACAATATTGCAATTTATGATATAAATGAGTTTTTCAATAGGTTATATGTAATAGTAAATTATTATGTCACATACGAGTACGTATATAGTTTTTATTCAAATATTTGATATTTCAGCCCTTATGAGTTCACGACAGATGTGCGAACTTATCATGACAGAGACATAAAAAATTTCGACGAAAACATAATTACGGAAATAAACCCTACAAACGCAACATTAGTAGGATGTTAATAAACCTGCGTTATACCTACAAATTATATTTCACTTAATCTAACTCAATTAGAATTTTAACTAAGTTTGGTTGCACATCGAACAAATTGTCAAAGAGTATTATAAGTTCGGATTGTAGCCATACAATTTTAAAGACAAATTAGTCATATTTCTGTTACATAGAGTAACAGGGCTCTATTCCAGTAAAATTTCATGCAAACTCGAAATCAATTAGTATTTAATTAATACAATATGTACACAAGTCAAATACAAACAACTTTAGTTATAGAACAATTCTGAAAAATTGTATTGAATTCTTTTGTCGAGGTATCGAGAAACATTCGTAATGGTATCACAGATTTGACACGGCCATTACTTATGTCTGGTTTAATTGCTTATTTTTATACTATTTAAACTTGATTTCCAATATTTAATATTTGCCCGTATTACATAACCTATTAAAACACTATATAATAGATCACCCAAGCAATATTTATGAAATTTGAAAAGTATGTTAAGCGTAGGATGTAAAGCAAAGATATGCTATTTTGTTAATTATTGTTGAATAAGATTAAGAATCGGAATAAGAATATTAATTTTGAGTTTTGTTTGTTATTTAACTCACAACTATTACAAAGTTCATTGACAGATCTACGCCGGAGCCTAATACGAACATCTTACGAAAGTATTCAGTGTTGAAAAAATATTTTCCATACAAAATTAAAATTATTTCAATTATTTGGATAATGAAGCGTATAAGTTTCAATTCTTTTTGTATATTTTCTCCTTTAAATTTTAACAAACCTCCTATTTGATTGTCGGCTGATTTTATGAATATATTACAAACATACATTCCTTTACATACTTTGATGTACATTTATTTAAATAATCTAATCTCTTAATAACATGAATAGCGCATAAGTTAATAAAATAGCATAATGACAACTCAAAAAGAAAATTTACCTAAAAAGAACATGTAACTTGTAGAGTGCATTATAAATTTTACAAAAGGCTTCCTCATGAGAAGACCTTTTTCTGAACCTGGTGCTATCAAATACGTTAAACTGTAAATTGGAAAACTACATCCCAGTTGCATTACTTGTGTTATTTGTTGTAATGTTTTCTTTCTACGAAATCCTGGTAAACCATCATACCATATTGCAGCTAACAATTGTTGAACATTTGGATGAGCAACGAACTGAAAGATAACGAAAATGTATCAGTATAATGGGAAACGGTACCAATCCTTGGTATATAAATAAAATAATAAATTAAATACATATTAGTTTAATATTACACAAATTAATAAGTGAACACGAGTTTAGTTGATGAGAGTGAATAAAAGAAATAACAGTAGCACCTATATGTACAACGCAAATCTATAAGAAAATATTTTGTAGCTTTACTTGAATTGCTGGAATGTCTACTTGCCCTTCTGACGACATGAAAGCACTTCACAAACATGAAGTTTATTCTGAAGAAAACTATTGAAGGTCTTAATTTTTATTTAATCCATATATTTGTGAATTGGTTACAACTTGGTTGCAGTTGCACAATATTTTGAGTTTGTACTAAATTTTTTAGAATGCTTCGTTGTCTCTAAATGTAAAATGTTTATAACCGTATTCTACATATTACTTTCAAAACCCTGTCAATTCTTGTCAAACAATCTACTTTACCATTGATTTATGAATGCTTGTATGAGGACGAATATAGATGCTTGTATAAAATATTAATGAAACTATAAACCGTTTTCCCGACATTTTCTCCTATTTACTTACATTTTTTTGCTTATACTTGATTGCTAATTTTAATCTTTCTAATGTTTGTCGTTGCCCGGGCATCCAAACATCTGTACTAGCTTCATGATTAAAATTTAACATAACTTCTAATTCAGATGAAGTTCTTGCATGATCAAGTAAAGATGTCACAAATTCCTGAACGTCTGCACGCATTTCCTTTTAATCGGACCAAATGAAAGTTTATTGTTTTTTTTTTAAATAATATTTAGGGAATTATCACGCTTCTAACAATATTTTGAATATAGTATTTATATTATTATAAAGCATACATAAAAATATTAAGTATGGAATCTAGTATCCCATTGTATTGTTTATATTTAACTTACAGCATATTCGGCACGAAATTCCGATTCAACAGTTTGTAAGTGTTTTAGTTCACATGAAAGTTCAAAAGCTGTTAATACTGGATCCTTTGAACTGAGAGCTATTAAGGAGCTAGCTGATAATGCTTTATATGCGTTTATTCTTGATTGTGAATAACGTAATGAATCTGATTGTGATGATGCTATGCAAGTATCACATCCACATCTAAAACAAACAATTTTTTTTATTTATTTCATTAATACTACACAATAGATCAAAAGAGAAGCCGCGAAGTCAAGAAATTTAAAATTGTGCTCGACGATTGACTCCTTTTTCATTCATTGTGCGTGCTATAATGATACATCCGTCAGAGGATATCTTTTTGAAAAAAAAATTCTAAGTTTTGATAATTCAATTCATCGACAGAGTGAAGGAAAAACAAACTGAAAACATAGTTTGCCGAAATATTGGACATTCTTTTTCTATAGAAGTTTCAGAAAAAGAAATATTAGTTGCGTATTAAGAATATAATTATAAAGATAAATGGAAACAATCTGGGTTTTGAGGAAAATTCTTGATCATAGTAAAAGATCAACAAATTACTTAAATATTTTCAATTTTACAGTACATAGCACTTATTACTATTTTTGGTGGATGTTGCTGTTAAATTGAAAATCTTCCAAGTTAGGAAGTTCTGCGGTAATTTGGCAAACTATTTGCAAAAGTTCATTATTCTCAAGAACACAAGCTTAGAATCAAATATTAATTTACAGTTTAATTACGGACAAGAATCTTTTAAAGGAATTAATTATGAAAATAGTTAAAATCAATATATGTATATTTTCTTTTTTAAATTTAATCACTTGATATCATGAGGCATTGGAACCGAAGCTCCTCGATCTAGAAGAATTTTTAATATTTCATAATTGTTACGATGTGCAGCTAATATTAATGGTGTTATATCTGGTGTAAAATTTGATTTTGAACGATCAACTGCTTCCCAACTCTGTGGCAAATGAAAAAATATTACTTATTTATTAATTGAATAAAAATATTTTAGAATTTTTAGTACGTATGGTTTTCCTTCTTCGTGAGTTTTCTCTTCCCATTGTAAAAGTTCTTCTACAGCTTCAACATATTCTTCAGAAATCGCGTGTAGTAAAGCATCCTGTACGTAAGTTTTGCACATTAATATGAAGTTTAATATTAAATAAAAATTTGGACAATACTTACTCCAACATTAATCCCCTCTTCCAATAATAATGTTATTAAATCTTCATTTTCATTTTCGATAGCTGATATTAAAGCTGATCGGTTAAGTGGATCAACACAATTAATATTAAATTCAGTTGGTTTGTCTTTAAATTCATCAATTATTCTAAAAAACAAAAAACCGAATTAAATGACTCTAAAAATATATTTAAAAATTTTATATTTTCTATAACTACTTTTTAACTCTGGCACAGTCGCCTTTTTCAGCTGCTAAAATGAAAGCTTTTTCTACTTCTGATAAAATGTATTCATCCTGTGCATGTATATTTAAATTTTCTATTGCAGCTTCTTCATCTTCTTCCTGTTTTCTACTTCGTTCTTTTTCTTTTTCAACAAGACTTTCTTTTGATTCAGATTTCATTGTAAATGTTTATTTCAATTATTAGAACTAGAACAACATTTAGTGTAAATTCTGTAAATTAAATTAAGGCAAATGTCAATATACAGTCTACCACGGAAAATTTAAGTTTAAAAATTATACTTAAATCAATTACTTTATTATTTAATATTAAATTTATTCGAAAATATGCAAAAATCAAAGTTTCATCATTTTACGATTTTAGTGGAAAACATAGAGATTAAAAGGAAAACCTTAAAGTTTATGGTGGAACTTAAAATAATAACCTCATAAAAGTCATATTGTTTAAAATAAAAATAATTGGAAAAGTTGACAATATAGTTCTAATTTGAAATATTATTGATACTAGGTTAATACACTTGATTTTTTTACTAATCCTACTTAAAAATTGAAAAAATTTAATCAAAGGAGCAGGTACTTAAAATAGTATTAAAACATTCTTACAAAAATCCGGATTATTATATTTTCGTTCTTTTGAAACTTTAGTAAGTCTAATATTTTTATAAAGCTCTGTTAATGTGGAAGCACAACTGAATATTAAGGTAAATCTAGCTCTAAATCAAAATTTAGGATTCCAAAGTGCTGTCTGTTTTCTATTTTAGTTTTAGTTCTTATTTTATAAAGTTTCCCATTGGGAAAAAATTAAGAATATAGACTCGGCTGTTGATTCACATTTTGGGGTCAATAATGATTACTTGCTTCTGGTTTGAATAATTTAATTTGTAATAAAATTATTGTAAATAAGGTTTTAAAATTAAAGTCTTGATAATGTAAAAAAAACTGCCAACGGTGAAAAAGGAATTTAGGCTATTTTATCGCCGGCGGTAATCTCGTTTGATTCCGAACAGTTCCGTTTAAATATGTTTATTCTACATGAATTTTGAAATTTCACCGCGAAAAATCGTTCTTATTCTACTCTCAATTTAGGGCGGTTGACAGCTGAAGTATATCACACGCAAAGTTCCAAAAATATTAAAAAGATTAAATTTTAACTTGAAAATGTTTTAATGTTGTTGAACATATTTTTTCTTAGAGAATTAGAGCTAGATTATAGAGTAATTATAAAAGTATGTTTTAAAAAATCAATATAATCTTAGATTATAATTGCAATACAACATTTATAGAACCAAGTTTTTCAAATTAAGAAGGGTAACGTAAAAAATTGATTTTTTTTAAATTTTATGTTCCAGTACATTTCTATAATTACTAAATTTATTGAACATTCTACTTTAATTCTATTTAATATTTTAATTTCTTAGAAGGTTGTTCTTAATTCGGTGAAGGTTAGTTTTAAATTGTAATATAGAAACAAGGTTATATTTAAAATAAAGAGAAAGTGAAACATAAGAAAGCAAATATTAAGTATAAGAAAGCAATTTTCATTCATTCACTCCTCATATTTAGATAATATTACAGCATAATTCTAAAATCGATTTTGAACATAAATAATGTGTGAATGTAAAAAAAAAGTGCATTTAGAAATTACGACATCATATGTACAATATAATGTATAACAGTCTATGACCTATGTCATACTATTACATATGTACATACACTTGTATTGAATTGTTAGCACAACAAAATGAATTATAAACATTTTTTTTTTTGTTATTAAGTATTAAAATTTGACCTTTTACGAAAAAATTCAAAGGGTTGAAGTAAAGTCGTTCAACTAAAACTATATAGTTTAAGTTGAACGACTTTACTTCAACTGCTTTTTGAATTTTGATTTCTTAATATAAGTCAAATCAATTAAGAAAATCAGTTACAAATTTTATGTAATATTAGTTATCCTGGAGCTCTAAATTAGCAATCCAATTTACTTTCGGCAAAGAGACAGGCAACGAGCGAAATATTGCTCTCCATTATACCATATTGAAAGTGCTGACAGACAATGGAAAATTCGATTAATTGGAAGAACGTGAAATTATTTATTTACGATATGGATCGTTAATTGATATCCCGGTGGAATTTGTCAGAATTCTTTGATTAAATAGTTATTGGAAGCCAACATTGTGTATAGCCGTTAAAGTAGTTGAATTTCTGAATTGACACATTTTTTTGATTTCTTCAAAAATTTTATTTAAGTATTTGTGCAACTTATGTTTTAATATCCTTTAGTTGTCATTTATTTGAAAAATTTGTATGAAACTTATAATTTGCTTACAATTTATTTATTTTTCAATATTATTTTTAATTGATTTATTTTCCAATTTTAAAAATGATTTTATTATAATATTAATATTTAAAATTAAAATTAATTATTAATATAGTTAAAAACATTAAATCCTTTGAATAGCTTTTTATTATATTTAAAAATTTAAAATAATAAAACTAGTTTTATATTTAAAATTTTAGGCAGGTAAAAGTTTCAACCGTTCCGTGATTAGAATTGAACTGAAATTTTATTGTCAAACTGACCAAATATATTACTTTAATTACATTAAAAATATATCAATACAGAAATAGGCACATTTAAGGTTTTATTAAAATTTCTAAATGTCCTCAAAAAAACCTAGCTAATTTGTAATACGAATTTAAATTACAAGAACATCGAAAATTTGTGAAGAATACAAACACAAATAAAAAGAATTAAATTACAAATAAAATTATTTTGGTTTTCTAATTTGTTTTAACATCATTCCATCAGTAATTATTTTAGGGTGGTCGAATTTTTTTTTTATAAAATAGTAAATTAGTCATACTAGCTCAAGCGTTTTGTTATAGGCTTTTAATTGAATTTCTTAAATTAAAAAATAAAGTTGGGCCAAGGCATGATATATAAAACTATTGTATACATTTAGAATGAGCAAAAAAAAAATTTAAGGAGGCATTAATATACGGACGAAAAAACGAACGGATGAATGAACAAACGGACGGACAAAGGGACATTTTAGGAATATACTAATTACCTCATCTTTAAAATAACAATAAATTTTTAAAATCACCTAAGTCCATTTCCAATATTCCAAATGCTTTTAATTTCCAAATTAATTATAATGTCATTAAATTGAATTTTTTTAGGAAGTTTGAAAATAAATATACTGCAGAGTGCAGACCAAAGACTATAGTTTACCAAATTTTTAATTCACTTTAAACTCATTCACTTAAAAATGAAATATTGCAATACTTCATTTTTATTTAAAATGTTTTCTTTAAAATTGAAGCAACTATTTAACAATGAACTCGAATTCAAAATTTGATCCACCTTAATTGTAAAACTCTTGTGGTATAATATTGAAAATAAATTATATTAAATGTATAATTGAAAAAGATTAAGAAACATAAGACTTTTACTATACAAAGCTAGTGGATTAAGAGTGTTCGCAATTTAGATTGAACTTCAATACTCGTTTCTGTTGTGTAGTGCCTTTTTTAATACAAATTGAAACAAAATTTAAATATCAATTTAGAGAGAAAAATTCAAATTCTATATAGGGTGTAAAGAGAAGTATGTGTGTAAAATGTGCACGTATACGTTTAGCATTTTGTATGATAAATTATTCGCAAGTTTAAATTAGTGCTATTAGAGGAATTTATTATATATACAGCAAATCTAACCAACATTTCACATAAAGTTTAAATTTATGCACAATTGAAGTTGAATAGTACACGTTATTCCAAAACAGTGGTTAGGTAGCAGTTTTTTGGAATTTAGAGAAATTAGCTCTTGCGGCACTACAAGTTCATTACGTAACTTGAATTATTTGACTGACGTGTTTTTTTGCGCGCATCTCCTTTTTTTTCAGGGAAGTCATGATAATTGCGAACACTACTAATTAGTTTAATAAAGAATGTTACTTACAAATAAAAATATATAAAAATTTTTTGTTTGTTTTTTTTTCTTGTGAAAACAGGAGAATTATAAAACATTTCGCATTGAAATTACTTATCGAAATTCTAATTTAAAGAGTCTCCCTATGCAACATTAATTTGTTCATTATAGTATATGTACTTTGAATTTAGAAAAGGCAAAAGTATAGGATAACCTCGTGACCATTCAAAGAAAAATCGAAAAAAAAGTGAAGGAAAGGCTATTGAAACTAAAAAATCAACTAAAAATCTAAAAATGTAAAATTTCAATAAAGAATGAAAACAAAATAAAAATTGTACTTAGAAATCTCAGCCACTACAATGATAGAAATATGTCACCAACAAATTAGCACAGAGCCTGAATTTGTAATCAAAATTCAATTAAAGTAAAAATTAGACTTCAATTAAGATGAAATAGACTACAATTTCCGAAAAGTAAAGGACAATTATAGGCATAATAACTTTCATTTTCATTCGTTAAATTTCATTTAACCAGTAAAGGAATGCTGAAACTTTCGATTAGCTAGGATATTTTGCATCTATCTTTACGTAATAATATGTAATAAACTTTGCTCAATAAGCATATTTATATAATGATATTATAAATTCAAATCCGATGAAAAATCAATATTGCTCATCTTTGGAAATCTCAAGACTTTATTTATCATGCGTATAATTTGTCTAATCTTTAATTTTCCTTCACAAAAAATTTTGCTCTTAATTTGGAAATATTCAAATTATGCGTGAAAACAGTTTTTCTTTTCTATTTCACTATATACACATCGCATTTAGAATATTGTTAAATTTTGTGTGAAGCCTTTCATTTGATTGCAATCACGTTTATACGTTCGTGGATTTTGTTGTTTTTAAACCGGATAGAAAGGAAACGCAAAGATAGAAAATTAATCTAGATAAATAAAGTAAAAGTTAAAAATTCTCAACATTGTTTACTTATAAGGTTAATAGTACGGTCGTTAGAGAATGGTCTACAATACAAACGAGAAACGTGAAAGTAATTTAGATACACAACAATGTTGATGATATAATTAATTAGAGGGCAAATTAGGTTTATTAGAAATGCAAGAATAGTTGTAAAATTCCAATTATGGAATGCGAACTGTTAAAGTTATTTCAAAAAATATGATATATGAAGTATGATCTGACTAAAATTAGCATTGGTATGATACCGGCCCTTTATTTGGATGGTGTCGAGTTCCTGACCCTGGATAGGTTAATATAAAAATTATATTATATAGGTTAATATACTATTATATAATATTATAAAATAAAATATTGTTATAGTAGTAACAACAAAAATGAACAATAAATATCAATAAACTTCAATATTCAATATAAAGAAAAAAATACGGCAAGATGGTCACGGGATAGTTAAGTATCAATAAATGGTGAAACTGTAGCTTTACTATAAGAATTCAAGGAAAATTAGCGCCAATTTTCCCAAGGGGAACAAAACTGCACACGATGCTTTTTAGGCTTAGAATTTTAAAAATAATTTTATTTCCATTTCTACAAAATTTTTGTGTTCGCTACCTTAGAATTTCTTTTATAAACGTTTAGTACAATATTCTGTACAGATTTGTACACGTATTACATATTTTCTTCGCAAATTTTTATCAACAGAATTTTCTACGAAAACCTTTTAATTGCAAAATTATTATATATGAAAGTGAGGTTACTATAAATTTATTTACGAAAAATTTGATGGGCTCAAGAGGGGAAAATGTAAATAGAGGTAAACGGAATAATTTCGCTACAGCAATAATATTATATCGGCACATATATAATTTTATTATGACCCTTCAGCTGAAATTCTAAGAATTGCAATGTGCAATAAAATTAAAATGACAAAGGAGAAAAAGAGATAAGATATTTATATTTTATGGCGAAACAATTTTAATTTCGAATATCCCGGGAAAAATGCAAAAATTCGTGAAATTTACAAAATTTGAAATTTCGGATAGGTTATAAGCTTCTTTAAAAAATTTTTAAATATGAAAAACTGCCATATTTTATAAATTTAGAGTATAAAAACCGACACTAACTTTGCATTCCATTCAATAATGTTAATTTTGTTTCGCCCCAATTACTTAAATTATGTTTCTCTCCCATCCATCACCTATATATTATACTTTTTTTTAAAACATTTCAAAATTTCTGTAGATTCATTCAAATACAAATCATAAAACCCAATAAATTTTAATAAAATAAACAGAAAATACAAGCACACAAACAAATAATTTTAATTTGTTAAAAATTGGAAACGATTTAATATCAAGAACTTGATACTAATTCAATATCGAAATGGCAATACTAAAATTTTTACGAGCTTGTTTTATAAATTTGAAGAACCTATTAAAAATATATTCGTAATAAAACTGAAAATGCTTCATTTCGAATTGGAATACTTAAGATTTCTTTTGATCTATGCGTATTTACATATTGTGTGATGTAGGTAGAGTTTCGTATTTTAACAAATTTTTTTTTAAAAAGCATCAAAAACATAGCTATTGTATGTTGAAGTAGTCGAACTCGCATACAACTAAATAAAAATTTGTAAACATAGAAAATAATTAATTTAAAAATTTGGAAAGTTTATACGATTAATTTAAATAAGAAAACAATAAAATGTTTATATATTCACTCTTGTATGATTGTAAATGTAAATAAATAAGAAATTAATAGAAAAATAAGGAGCACTTTACCTGAACTAGAGCATAAAATTTCAAAGTATGTAATTGTATATGTAATATAATCAAAAATGATAATTTATAGAAGCTACAACCCTGTCATATGACAAAGCTAAAATTACGAAAGCCTGTCTTCGAATTTGCGTGGAGAAAACAATATGGAGTCAATTAGTTCACCTCCCCAAAAATATTAATTTAATGATTTAAAAACTCATATCTCATTTACTAATAATTGATTTCTTAAAGTATGTTTTAAAGATAGACGAACTTTTACACTTAATGTTTATGGCATTTTTAAATTCCTGCATTTGTTAAACAAAAAATTTTTAACACGTAATTTTACAGTAGGCTATTGTAATTTATTTCTCAATTAAACACTCAATTAATATGGTGACGCCACTTAGTGTTTGAGTAAAAAAAACCAAAAAATAAAAGAAGAAATTTCCAATAATCTGAAATTAAAATTTAATTAAAAAATATTTAACAGTTGCTTCGTGGTGTTTTACGATAAGTACAGCTGAATAATAACCCTTTACACTAGGGAAGTTTTCCTACAATAATATTGCTGTGTAAAATTAAAATAATTAATAAAATTTTATTAAAAATAGAATAATTTTGTAAATTAAGAAACTGAAAAATTTTATAAGACCAATAATTAATTAAAAAAAAAAAACAAAAAAAAAAATAGGAAGTGTTTTGTTTACATTAGTGCCTAAATTCTATATAAATATTATAGAAAAAATTATACTAAATAAAGAAACTAAAATGGCGTCTCAGTAAGTAGAAATTAATAATATGTAAATATTCCAAGAAATTTTGAAAACTTCACACATATT